AACTTACTTTTCATCACTTAAATACTTATGAACTCACCAGCTTAAATGTTGATCTACTCTTTCAAAATAACTTGTGTTCTCGGGAGACTAGTAGACAAGTGCGTGCACTGGGATTCAGAAGATGGAGTATAGTAGCTTAATGTCTTGTTTTGTTATTTACTTTTGGAGTTAATCTTTTGTGAATCACATACTTTGTAAACACTTTAATATTAATACAATGGTTGTTTGTTATTTTGATTACTATGATGCATGTGTTGTGATACTACATATGACGTCCTTCGCCCCCGAACGTTTCCGCCGTTCCGGTTTGGTGGTGTGACAAGTATCGAATCCTGTGCAACCTCCATTAACTATAAAGATGAGAAAAAGAGAGGATTTGATCGAAACCAATGTAAATGCTTACCTCGAGGCAAACGGTCTATGGCCTCCTTTGAACTTCAAAAATCAAGGATGTTGGTTCGTTATTTACTTACTGGGTTGAGGGAATATGGTTATTTAGAGAGAGAAATGGGAGGATTCCAATTTCAAAATATGTTCTGGTGTTTGAGGAAGAGAGAAAAGTGATCTGAAATTATGTGGCCTTAGATACATTGTACATATGAAGAGGATATATGACCGAACTTCATCCAGTTGCTCATGGGGGAGATGGCAGTTGCTCATGGAGGAGATGGTTTTGCAGGTTTCAACTATGGTTTATAGAGGTGTTGAAGGTAGTGGCAGGAGGTGGCGTTGATGGTGAAGGTGGGTATCTAAGGTTTAACTAAAGAAAAAGAGGATGAATGGTCAAGGCGTAGGTTTTTGTGAGAGGAGAGTGGTTGTGTGAGAGCATACAACGAAGAGGAGGAATTGTGGGTTTTCTAAAAAAAAGAGCAGCAAGGGTTTTTAAAGGAAGTGACGGAAATGCTAGATATATGGGAAGGTTGGCAAGATTCGAGATATTTTTCGGGGATGAGGGGAAAGGTATACTTAAGCGATTGAAGGGGCTAGGTCAAACGATTGAAAGGGCTAGGTCAAACTATTATTTTCCTTTTTACTTTTTCAAATCGTTAACCAAACAAGATTCAATGCATAAATCGATTGTAAATAGCATAAAAAAGGTTATACCTCTTAAAATTCATTCTTTGATCAAATTTGCATAATAAGAAAAGTATATATATATATATATATATATATATATATATATATATAATATATATATATATATATATATAGAGAGAGAGAGAGAGAGAGAGAGAGAAAGAAAGAAAGAAAAGTTAAATAGAGAACCATAATTATTGGTTCTCCAAAGAACCAATTTTTTTTCAAGTTTTAGAGATTATTGTTTATCGAAAGAAAAAACAAATAATTTCGAAATTAATAACTTCACATTGTAAATGCTAAAAAATAAATTATATATTTTTCGAGTTCACCATCTGAATTTTGACTCACACTGTGAATCTGCACAGATTCATACTGTGAATTTGATGATTTTTTTATCGAATTTGATATCATTGAAAAATGATAAAAAGTTATGAATTTCTATATTTTTATTTTTTTATATAAAAAAACAAGCTCTAAATGTTCAAAAAAAGATTGGTTCTTTGGTTCATTGGTCAATTATGGTTCTCTATAGAAATCACCATATATATATATATATATATATATATATATATATATTATATATATATATATATATATATATATATATATATATATATATATATAGAGTTAGGTTAATGTGAGACCACTATATTTTTGTGAGACGAGGAGATGCAATCCTAGCCACTTATTTTGTAGATAAAAAAAATTTAAATGCAAAATAATTGAAAATTTTCGAATTTTTTTTAAAATATTGTTTTCGTCACTCTTTTTATCCAAAAAAAATAATAAATAAAAAATAATTAAAAAAATAAAAAAAGTTATCGTTTTTTTAATATCTGTGAAATATTCTACTAGAATATTGGAATATTCTAGTAGAATATTACAATATCTTAGTATAACATTAAAATATTTTACATATCTGACAAATTTACTAGAATACTAGAATAATCTAACATTCTAAAAATCAGATTGGAATATTACAGTCTAATATTTTATTAGAATATTTCACGTATTTTTCAAAAAAAATGGTAATTTTTTTAGGTAGAGAAAATGACGAAAATAATAATTAAAAAAAGAATTTTTAGATTTTTCCTTTTACTTTGCATTTTAAAATTATTTTTAGATTGCGTCTCACGGTCTCACAAAATTAACATAGTCTGAAATGAACCTAAAGCTATATATATATATATATATATATATATATATATATATATATAATATATATATATATCTATATATATATATATATATAAACATGATCGGGTGAGGACTCTTTTTAAAATGATGACTCGTGACGACACCTTAAAAAAATTGAAAAAAAATATAAATCATAAAATCGAGCATAACACTACATCAGAGAGAAAAAAAAATTGGAAAAAAATGTGGATCATTAAAATTGAAGCATAGATCATTTTTGTGATCCATTATTCAATTTTTATGATCCATGATTAAATTTTAATGATGCAAATTTTTTTCTCCCAAATATAGTACTGTGCTCGATTATATGATTTTTGTTTTTTAAAGATTTTTTTCAATTTTTTTAAGGTGTCCTCACGAGTCCTTATCGAAAAGAGAGTACTCACCAACACAAAACATATATATATATATATATATATATATATATATATATATATATATATATATATATATATATATAACCACTAAAAGTTAAGAACCCTAAGAACGACTAATTTTAACTAATCAGATCCGGTTCTCATTTCTCACCAACACAAAACATAAAGTTCTACAGCCACTTTCTTTCTTCTATACTTCTCACCTTGGATACCACCACCGTCAGCCACCATCGGCCACCGTCGGTTATTATCCTGACCACCACCTCCTCCCTCCTAGTCGATGTCTCTCCCATATCACTTCATTTATGGTTGTTCAGCTCTAGTTCTTTCTCTCTGATTTGTATGAAAACCACCAGATCTGTTCAAATCTGGTCAACTATCACCACCACAAACCTCTGATGAGTTTCCTTCAAACTCCGGCGCATCAGATCTGTTACACGTCCACCGCCTCCGCCGGTGGCACACGACGAAACAACTCCAGACCTGATGTAAACTTGATGTGTTTCAGGTTAGATCTGCATCGTCCTCCTTTGGTCCTTACTATCTTCATCTTCATATGACGAGGATCATCGACCACATCAACTTTATTGATGACGAGGCTTTTAGATCTGAAGTGTTTAGGTCCAGATCTATGTTCTCCTGTGATAGATCTACGATCTCTGGTGGCAAATCTATGATTTTCACCTCTAGATCTACTATTTACGCCTTCAGATCTACGAGTTTCAGTGACATTGAGTGACCAGATCCAAAATCTTCATCAATCTCCACCGTCGTTGTTGCCTTGTTGTTTTAGTGAAACACTACTAACTCGTCTCCATCTCTTTCTCTCTGATCATCGGTGAAACACCAACATATCTATGCATCAGGTATGTTGATTTTTGTATTTTTTTTTTTTTTTGCTTTTGTTAAGCTGTGAATTTAAGGTTTTAATATCTCATTTCTAGTATACTTGTCTTAATATTAGTTTTAACTACTATTAAGTTGTGAATCTATGTTTGCTTTTTAATTTGTTATAATATTTTCATAAAATTGTTACTCACATTTTGTGCTTTAGTGTTATTACGTTGTGAATTGAACTTAAAATGTGTGTTATTATGTTAGTGTTTTCTAAAAAAATGTGTATTTAATTTTTTTTAATTGTGAATTTTGATATTTTAATGTTCCAGTTACTGTTTTATTTTATTAAAGTTAGTTTTGACAATTTTTAATAAGAAAATATAACTTTTAAGCTGTAAATGCATAATTTTATAAGTTTTAAGTTGTGAATCCAAGTTTCTTTTCTTATTTGTTATAATATTTTAATAGAATTATTGTTCATAATTTAGGTTTTTTGGTTGTTATGTTGTGAATTTTATTTAGAATATGTTATGTTTTCTCAAATAATGAGAATTTAGGGTTTTTTTAATTTTTTTTTAAGTTGTGATTTATGATGTTTAAATGTTTCACAAATTCTTTGGTTATATTAATGTAAGTTTTAACTATTATTAATAAGAAAATATACGTTTTATGTTGTGAATACATGACATTTTATTAATTTTAATATGGGAATACATGATTTTTTATAAGTTTTAAGTTGGTTTTTAAATCTATCATAATATATTTTTATAAAGCATATAAGGTGTTTGATTAAACTGTGAATAAGAGTAATGAAATGCTTTATTAAACTATGAACTTTTAAGGTGCACACAAGGTGTTTGATGAAAATATTTCGACAAATCATGTGAATACTATGAATGAGAGTCCTAAAATGTTTTATTAAACTGTGAATGAAATTATTGAAATGAGATCACCTTAAAAAAATTGAAAAAAATTCTATGAGGACTTATTTTAAAGTGACGACTAGTGAGGACACCTTAAAAAAAATTGAAAAAAATTCTAACCAAAATACAATTCATAAAATCGAGCATAGATGTACGTCCGGGAGAAAAAAAAAATTGGAAAAACAATTTGGATCATTAAAATTGAATCATGGATCATAATGATGCAAAATAAAAAATTAAAATTGAATAATGGATCAATTTTAGTGATGCAAAAAAAATTTCCAATTTTTTTTCTCCCGGACATAGATCTATGCTAGATTTTATGATTTATATTTTTTTTTAGATTTTTTTTTCATTTTTTTTAAGGTGTACTCACAAGTCCTCACTTTAAAATGATTCCTTACCCGATCTTGTTTCGATATATATATATATATATATATATATATATATATATATATATATATATATATATATATATATATATATATATATATATACCCACAAGTCCTCACTAACCTCCGCCGTGCAAAGAATCACCAAAAGCTTGATCTGTCAGCTTCTCCACGACATCACTCGATTCTCCGACATGAATGCATCGGAATTCCTAAAGCATATCGGATTGAGATCTAGATCTCATCTCAGGTTCCCTGCCGAAGTTAGCGAGGCTCCGATCCTTCCGACGAACGTTTTCCTGTATGATTTCATTTGGAGAGGATATGGTGCAGTCACCAATGATGTTAAGAATCATGTACTCCGATTTAAACAATCAGTATCCTTCATCTGGAAATCTAGTAATATTTATTATTGTTAATGTTATCAATTTCCATGATTATCCAATTTTATGGATTTTTGTCCTACATACAGTACAGGGAATGTCCTCTTGACCTGAAAGAGGCGATTTGAAGTCTCTGTTTTGTTGCTCCAAGATCTGGAGATTTTATTGAGCTGATCCAACTGTAGATGACTTTTTTTGGTAAGTATGTCTGATCTTTTTGTTTTTTCCCTTTATTTAAGCCTTATATTCTGGATGTTTTGATGAATTACAATTTTGAAAGTTTTCTTATAATGATTTGAATGCCAAAAACAGTTGATAGGTCAGATTTCTTGATTTGATATCAAGAAATCTTAGTAATATACTTGTTAATCTTATTGAATATTGTACATACATACAGGGAATGTCATATGGACCTGAAATAGGTGATTTCTATCAAGAAATCTTAGTAATATACTTGTTAATTTGATTATTACCAGATAATCATTACATTTTTTTTTATTGACAGATTCATCGGCTATTAGTCTAATAATTTAATTGATTGTTGCACTTCAGGTGCAGAAGTTTGTTGCCATGTCTGAAAATATGGTAACACAAGAATAAGTAAAAATAATAGGCTTAAAAAGGGATGAAATGTAGTTGATTTGGTTTTTTTGAATGATAGGATCCTGGAAATCCAGTGATGATTGTGTGTGATGAAAAGCTGAAGGAATTATTTGGTTGTGAGAGCATTTCAGCAATGGGAATACCAGAGTTGTTGGTTAGACACCATTTATTCGAGCAATAGTCTTGTCTTCTAAACTTACATGGACTGGTGTGTCACTTTATTCAGTAAAAAAAAGAATAAAGTTGATTTTGGAGGATGAATATGAAATGTAGTAGTAGTAGTAGTAGTAAAAAAAAGAATAAAGTCTTGTCTTCTCATGTTTGTTTGTTTGTTTGTTTACAGATATTATGCAAACAGGAATTGAGGAATTGAGCATCTGACATATGATGTGAAGAAAGAAAGTAGTAGTAGTAGTAGTAAAAGTTTTTTAAGTTTGTTTTTACGGCTGTGTGGGTGTTGCTGACATGGTAATGGTAGTGTCTAGAATGACGTTGAAAATTGTTTTTATGTAAAACCAAACCCAACAAATGGTTTTCGTGTTGATGTTATGGTGATGTTTAGGTGTTGTTTACCTTTACCCTTTGTAAATGCCTAACCTTGGTTTGGACGCAACTCAAGAATGTAGTAGTCAAAATTTCCAAGTATGTTAATGATCTATTTACTAATGTTTCCACCATAATTAAAGGCGATCTTCAGGTAGGAGGCCTAATTTCTTAATATTGATTTCTATTAACAATCTGGCAGTTTGTTAATATGTATTTTGATTATTGAAATCATTCTATGAGAAAGTTTATTCAGGTTTCATCAACATTAGGACAAAAGCTTGTGAGGTGTTGCAGAGAGAAGATGGCCTAAATGAGATTGTATAGGTATGTTTGTGGTTTTATTATATTATATATGTTTTATTTGATGAGAATTATATGTGTATATGAATATTTGATGGTGGTAGTTTGGTGTTTGTAGCTGGTGGTTAAATAACATGTAATTCACATATGAATTACATGTGATTCACATGTAAATCACATGTAAATCACAAGTGAATCACATATGAATTATATGTGATTCACATGTAAATCACAAGTGTAATTTACATAAAAATCACATGTGATTTACATGTAAATCACAAGTGAATTACATGTGAATTCATATGTGAATAACATGTAAATATCATGTAATTTACATATGAATCACATGTGATTCACATATAAATCACAAGTGAATTACATGTGAATTCATATGTGAATTCACATATGAATTACATGTAATTCACATATATTTCACTTATAATTCACATATGATTCACATGTAAATCACAAATGTATTACATATGAAAAAATGTATTCACATGTAAATCAAATGCAATTCACATGTAAATCATGAGTAAATCACATGTAATTCAGATATGAATCACATGTAATTCATATATAAATCACATGATTTTTTGTGATTGTTTTTGAATTGATCAATTTTTTTTTAATTTTCTTGTAGATTTGGAAGAAATTGTGTTGAATATTGAAGAGGTGAAAAATTGTAAATTGAAGAAAATATGGAAATATTGATGTGAAGATATGAAATCACTTTGAAAATTTATAGCATTTTTTTGTTTTTTATATTTTATTTTGTATCGAATAAAATACTCATTCCTATTATGTATATGAAATATGAATAGATTCATTTGTACCTAAAATGTGATGTGCAAATTGAAGGATTTGTTTTTTTTTTTTTTTTTTTTTGCAAATTAATATAATTTGTGTTAGTAAATTTGATGTAATATGTAAAAATATGGATGCATAAATATATGTTTTTTACCTAATAGAATGAGTAAAATATTTATTAATAAATGGATGTTTTTTACCTAAGATGACTCTTTTGCATTTGAGTTCCACTCAGGCATTGAGAAGTAACCAATGAGTACAGCTAGAAATTCAGTTGGCAATATGCATGAAACATTCTGAATACTAAAATCTAGTTCCATTCCATGATTCCTTTTTCTCACTCGAATGTTGATAACTAGAGAAAGATTTAGTACAGCATGGTCCCACAGAGAGTCTTGTAGAGTCTGAGGAAACCATTGTGATGAAAGGCCTAATTTCTTAATATTGATTTCTATTAACAATCTGGCAGTTTGTTAATATGTATTTTGATTATTGAAATCATTCTATGAGAAATTTGATTCAGGTTTCATCAACATTTGGACAAAAGCTTATGAGGTGTTGCAGAGAGAAGATGGCCTAAATGAGATTGTATATGTATGTTGGTGATTTTATTATATTAGATATGTTTTATTTGATGAGAATTATATATGTATATGAATATTTGATGGTGGTAGTTTGGTGTTTGTAGCTGGTGGTTAAATAACATGTAATTCACATATGAATTATATTTGATTCACATGTAAATCAAAAGTGAATCACATATGAATTATATGTGATTCACATGTAAATCACAAGTGTAATTTACATATGAATTACATGTGATTCACATGTAAATCACAAGTGAATTACATGTGAATTCATATGTGAATTACATGTAAATATCAAGTAATTTATATATGAATCACATGTGATTCACATGTAAATCACAAGTGAATTACATGTGAATTCATATGTGAATTCACATATGAATTACATGTAATTCACATATATTTCACTTGTAATTCACATATGATTCACATGTAAATCACAAATGTATTACATATGAAAAAATATATTCACATGTAAATCAAATGTAATTCACTTGTAAATCAACAGTAAATCATATGTAATTCAGATATGAATCACATGTAATTCAGATATAAATCACATGAAATTTTGTGAGTGTTTTTGAATTGATCAATTTTTTTAATATTGACTTCTATTAACAATCTGGCAGTTTGTTAATATGTATTTTGATTATAGAAATCATTCTATGAGAAATTTGATTAAGGTTTCATCAACATTAGGACAAAAGCTTGTGAGGTGTTGCAGAGAGAAGATGGCCTAAATGAGATTGTATAGGTATGTTGGTGGTTTTATTATATTATATATGTTTTATTTTATGAGAATTATATATGTGTATGAATATTTGATGGTGGTAATTTGGTGTTTATAACTGGTGGTTAAATAACATGTAATTCACATATGAATTACATGTGATTCACATGTAAATCACAAGTGAATCACATATGAGTTATAAGTGATTCACATGTAAATCACAAGTGTAATTTACATATGAATTACATGTGATTCACATGTAAATCACAAGTGAATTGCATGTGAATTCATATGTGCATTACATGTAAATATCATGTAATTTACATATAAATCACATGTGTTTTACATGTAAATCACAAGTGAATTACATGTGAATTCATATATGAATTACATGTAATTCACATATATTTCACTTGTAATTCACATATGATTCACATGTAAATGACAAATGTATTACATATGAAAAAATGTATTCACATGTAAATCAAATGTAATGCAAATGTAAATCATGAGTAAATCACATGTAATTCAGATATGATTCACATGTTATTCAGATATAAATCTCATGAATTTTTGTGAGTGTTTTTGAATTGATCATTTTTTTAATATTTATTTCTATTAACAATCTGGCAGTTTGTTAATATGTATTTTAATTATTGAAATCATTCTATGAGAAATTTGATTCAGGTTTCATCAACATTAGGACAAAAGCTTGTGAGGTGTTGCAGAGAGAAGATGGCCTAAACGAGATTGTATAGGTATGTTGGTGGTTTTATTATATTATATATGTTTTATTTGATGAGACATATATATATGTATATGAATATTTGATTGTGGTAGTTTGGAGTTTGTAGATGGTGGTTAAATAACATGTAATTCATATATGAATTACATGTGATTCACATGTAAATCACAAGTGAATCACATATGAATTATATGTGATTCACATGTAAATCACAAGTGTAATTTACATATGAATTACATGTAATTCACATGTAAATCACAAGTGAATAACATGTGAATTCATATGTGAATTACATGTAAATATCATGTGATTCACATGTAAATCACAAGTGAATCACATATGAATTATATGTGATTCACTTGTAAATCAAAAGTGAATCACATATGAATTATATGTGATTTACATGTAAATCACAAGTGTAACTTACATATGAACTACATGTGATTCACATGTAAATCACATGTTAATTACATGTGAATTCATATGTGAATTCACATATGAATTACATGTTATTCACATATATTTCACTTGTAATTCACATATAATTCACATGTAATTTACATATGAATTATATGTGATTCACATGTAAATCACAAGTGAATCACATATGAATTATATGTAATTCACATGTAAATCACAAGTGTAATTTACAAATGAATTACATGTGATTCACATGTAAATCACAAGTGAATTACATGTGAATTCAAATGTGAATTACATGTAAATATCATGTAATTTACTTATGAATCACATGTGATTCACATGTAAATCACAAGTGAATTAGATGTGAATTCATATGTGAATTCACATATGAATTACATGTAATTCACATATATTTTACTTGTAATTCACATATGATTCACATGTAATTTACTAACACAAATTACATCAAATTTAAGAAATTAGGCCTTTCATCACAATGGTTTCCTCAGACTCTACAAGACTCTCTGTGGGGCCCTGCTTTACTAAATCTTTCTATTAATGAATATTTTACTCATTCTATTAGGTAAAAAACACAATTAATGGAGATAACACAATTGTAGTTGTTGTAAAATATTCATTAATAAATGGATGTTTTTTACCGAAGATGTCGATAACACAATGTATATTACCAAAACTTGCATAATTTACCAAAAGTTGTTAAACATAGTCATTATAGTGTTTACAAAATAAAGGGATACTAATAATTTTGCCCAAAAAGCCCATATAATTAATTAAATCCTAATATTCTATTGGATAGCAAGAGGTTTGTTTTTAGACATTCCTATTCCTTTTTTCTATTACAGTTTTTTTTAACATGTTCTTAGTGATCCTTTCAGAAGTTTTTCTAGTTCTGATCATTTTAGAAGTTTTTCTAGATCTTCCTTCCACTGTGTCATGCACCTCCTCTGTGTCATCCACCTCCTCTTTGTTATCCACCACATTATCTTCCTTCTTTTGTTTTTCATCAATTCCTTCTTCTGACATATTCTAATATAGTAAAAAAATAGATGTTAGTTATGTGATTAGAATTTAAAATTTACTCTGAACTTTAAAAATATACCTTTGGAATTTCTTTTGATTTATGAAAGAAGTCATCAAATTCCTTAAGTTGTTCTTTGGTGATATTAAGAAACGAAATGATATCTTGCTCACTGTAATTTGATTGTCTCAAATCATTTAGACTTTTATGAAGTCTTTCTCCTTCAATGATCTGCTCGACCTGAACATATGCTTTTGGAAGATGTTGATTTTCCGAAGTTGTTTGAACTTTTTGAGGAATTTCCAAACTGTGAGGTTCTCCATCTATATTATAAAATTTGTGCTGCACTCCATCTTTTTTAACTAAATCAAATTCATAAAACACCTTTTCCCATTTCTTTAAATCTTCATTTTGCTGAAAATTTTCATTTGCTTCTTCAAATGTTGATATTAACTTACTTTTCTTCTTACAAAGACTTTCAAAAGTTTTTTTCAAAGTTGACAAATAATTATGTGTAAAATAAAAACATGTACATATATGTATATTATTTCACATCTGATTATGAAAACAAAATACATATAAGTATTTATATTTTGCATTAATATTTATTTATATCTAACTATTTTTTAATAAATTTTTTATATATTTTTACCTCAATCTTTTTATCTATTGTAAATTGCAATCTTTCAAGAATTTTTCCTGTTCCAAACATTCCAACTTTCATTTTGCTAGTTTCTCGTTTTTTCATCTTAATAGAATCCCAATTTTTTATTGTTGAACGTAATCGTAAATCATTTTTTTCATCGAATTAAACATGGTGAACATATAATAGTTGCATAAAAAGAACATAGTCAAATTTGTATGTTATAGAAAAAATTTTAAAGAAAGAAATATTACTAGCAAGTACGTCGGTGGACCATAGAAGTACCCTTTATAATTGTGTGATACATATGACCTTGTGTTATTAATCAACGATTCAATTAAGTAAGAACACCAGTCAATTTTTGATAAATCTGTGGTTCTTGAAATCCTCTTTAATATATTCTCATTGATTTTACCTGCGGGTGTACTTTCAACTAGGGTGTTGCCAAACAGAACAATGAAATTTAGTTTGAAGTTGAAATCAGCCTCTTGTGATGATATAATTTCATTTGTGATATCATTCAATTTAAGTTTTCTGCTTTTTGAAATTGGGCTATCCATTTACTGTAACATTCATCTTCTGCAGATCGAAAACTAAGGTCTTCCACTTTTTGGTCACCCATTGGAATTCCAAGCATCGCATTCACACTTTGTCTGTCAACCTTAATTTCTCCATTTATAACTTCTAGTACCTTTTTCTTTATATCAAAGCTTTTAACAACAAAGAAACCAAGTGATGAAGGCAACTCATCAATTTCCAATTTCAATAAGCTTTTGAATCCCATTTCTTTAACACAATTCTTCTGCTCCAAACTAAGTTTCCTTATAATTTTAAGCAATGATTTTGGTGATGACCTGTTACGTATTGTTTTGAAATGCTTTTCTTTTTCAGCCAAAACTATCTTTCCATAACTTTTTTTCTCTTTTATTTTGGGTTGTTCTTTTTCAAAAAAAGAGTTTTGTTTATCAATATCACTTCTTTTCCTCTTTCCAACATTAGCATTCAAAGAACATGCAAAAAATATTATTTTTAATAATCAAATTAATAGTATATTTTTTAAATTAAAAACAAAGAAATTATTACACAAGTTATATAATAAAATTATTATACACATAGGATTGTATTTACTAAATTTCATTAACAAATTTTCATATAAGTACATATTCACATGTGATTAAATAAAAAGTATTAACTGTTATTTATTTACATTTTTTTACATAATTAGATAATACCTTATCAATGACATTTATATTTTTGCCAAATAAACAATGTTATTGTTGTAATAAACAAGATATCATTAACAGTATTTTAATTTTACATAATTAGATAATACGTTGTCAATGACATTTAGAGTTATTCAAAATTTTACTTTTTATAGGTCAAATATGTCAAATATATATTATCACAGATTCACAATCTATAATAAACAAAGAGCATTTCAACAAACAAAACATTCTATAGTATTACTACATGGAAAAGTTGATTATTTGACTTAATGTGTCAAATCCTATTCAAAAAAATTTCTTTTCTAAATGAAAAAAACTTATGACATGTTTCGTTTGTTGATTTTGGAGTTATAATTTGAACCAAATGCCCCTTTAAATCCTAAAAGTTAATTTTCTAACTCATGGAGATTAACCATTTGCTTTGGCTGTATAACCTGAAGCGATTGCAGATAATATGACCAATTCCAAAAACTTACTTGGGAAAGGTCTCATCTCCCATGTGTTTTATACTTGTGACAATTTTATCAAAATAACGGAATCGACTGTGTTATCTAAGATCGTAAGTGACCTAATTTAAAAATAGTTACATCATCTAATGTTAACTAAATAAAAGGCAAAATCTTTACAGATCACAGCAATGGCTTGTATTAGAACAAGTAATACTAATTAGGGGTATTACTTCCTGTTCAGAAAACCAAAAACATACACCAAAATTATGTATGAATGCTAAATTACCTTCCATATTTAGAGTATAACGTTTTGAAGAAATATCTTGTTGATCGATTTTCTTTGATCTTATGTAACCCTTTGAAGAATTATAGTGTTGATCGACCTTCTTCGAAGTTATACAATGCTTTGTAGAAGTACAGTGTTGATTGATTTTCTTCGAACTTTTATTTGAAAGAGACAAATCACTTGAATGTTGTTGTGAAGACATGATTTAGGTTGAATCCCTATCTTTTGAAATACGAAGGAAACCCTTTTTGTAATTAAGAATCCTAAATGAAAAAAGAAACGCTTTTATGTGATATGAAAAATCAGTTTCGTTTGCATTTACAGTATTAGCCCCTTGTTTTTTAAATTGTTTTAGATTTGTATTCAGTTTTTTCATTTAATTACAAAAATACCAACCTGCACTTCCATTTCATCTTTTAATATTATTAACATTTGGATATAAAATGATTTAATGCTAGAAATTGTATTTTATTTTTATTTTTTATTTATAGTTCATTATACATTTATTTGTCTTTATACTTATAATTTTGTATGATGTGTTAAGTATTAAGCAAATATATATGTAAAAATTATATAAATAAACATATTTTTAAAAATATATGTCTAATACATATAATTTATATAATGAAAACCATACTAGATGGTATTTGCTAATCAAACACCAATGTTATTTAACTAAATCCAATATGAATATTAAAATTAATGATATATTGTTAGATTTATTTACATAAATCAAAATGTTATTCATGGTTGTTTTTTTTGCGAAATCTCCATAAAAGTCCTAAAATTTTAGTCCAATTTATGAAAAAATCCCAAAGTAAATTTTGTTTACAGAAAAGCACAAAATACCGGTTAAAACTTCGAAAAAACCATTTTCGGCCGGTTTCACAGATTTTGCCGGTATTCTGTCCTTTTTCGTTAGTATAACCAAAATTTTGGGACTTTTCCAAAAATTACATAATAACCAAAATATTGGGACATTTTTGAAAATTACCATGAAATTAAAGGATATTATTATTAACAAATCATTTATAAACATAAAAAATATTTTTATTATAAAAAAAGGAAATACATTTGTTGCTAATTTCTAGGAATAAATTTGAAACATCCCAAAAATATAACCCAAAAATTTCGTTTTTTAAAACATTATCGAAACCATCAACCAACCAAAATCGTAAGAAAAATCATAATCATGTATCATAAAACATCATAGTATCTGTCTCAAATCGAAATCGAATCATGAGAGTGAACTCCCAGGCTGTGACTGTGGTGTGTGCCATGCGATCAACCCGAGCCCTTCCCTTTGCTAGTGGAAGTACCTGAAACCAAAACTGAAAACTGTAAACACAAAGCTTAGTGAGCTCCCCCATACTACCACATACCATACAATAACATGTAAAACACATACTGTATCGGACCGCAGCCCGGAATATCTTGGGCCTTGCCCACTGCATCGGACCACAGCCCGGAACTGACTAGGGCCTTGCCCCCTGCATCGGACCGCAGCCCGGAACTGACTAGGGCCTTGCCCCCTGCATCGGACCGCAGCCCGGAACTGACTAGAATAGCATAACATAATCACAACATTTAACATAAACACATATACTGCATACTGCATCGGACCGCAGTCCGGAACTCACAACACATACACATGCCTGAATCACAAAGACAACAAGCATACTGAACTACTTCTCGGGACCACCCCGGCATCGGACCGAAGTCCGGAAACATATAAACTGCTTTGGGCTAACCCCGGCATCGGACCGAAGTCCGGAACTACTAAATCTAAACGGGCCGACATTGTGGCCGTAGACCCGTTCCTACTTGAAGGAAACTCACCTCGTGAAGCTGACTGCTGGAATGCTAAGCGGGAAATATCTAACTGCTTCTCCGGTAACTCCCCGGCTACAATTCCCATAAAGACACTTAGTCAAACACTGTCACACCCTAAAACCGGAACGGCGGAAACGTTCGGGGGTGGAGGACGTCATGTACAGTATCACAACAAAGCATAGTAGTAAACAAGCAACAACATCATCCTTGCATTAATAATATAATTTAATACAAGCGTGTTCTGTGAAGTTTATAAGACACCAAAAATGTAAATCAAAACAAGAGATGAGTCTTGAACGAGCTCCATCTTCTCAAAACTTGGCCTCGATACCTGTCTACTGATGACCTGAGAATACAAGTTATTTTGAAAGAGTTTATCAGCTTTAAAGCTGATGAGTTCATAAGCATTTTAGTGTCATTGTTTGTATGAAAATGTTTGTAAGTGTTTGATGTATAAGTTTGTAAATGTTTGTAGTAAATGTTTGTATCTCCTAGAAAATCCTATATTTTCTACTAAACGTAGCCTTCTACCAAGGCATCAAATGTTCTGTATGTTTGTTTCTTGTAAGAGTGTGTATTTTCCCAAGTGTGGCTATCATTAACCAAAAATATAGTTTTACATTACCTTTTATGTGAAAAGATCACAATGTGAATGCAATGGGGAAATAATAAAGTACTGTAATGTTGTATTATAGTAACTACTGCTGTACCAACTACCTTAAACCAATTGTTATTTAAGGTATAATGTGATATGATTGTACCATACTATCAACTAAAAACACGACGATGAAAGACGTCGGAAGAAATGACATTTGGCACCTGTAGACTTGCAAGTCCCACTGTAGCGAGCAGCAAGGTGTAGGATAGTCAATCCAGTATAGATCTATACACAAATTCACGCTCTCCTTCTAGGAGACTCTGGATACAAATCGAGCCATGACAGGTGACGCCATGCCCCAAAACCGTGGCTCACATTTATGTTATAGTATTCTTGTATATGTATTGTATGTACTAGTGTAATGTATGTTCTCTCTGTCTAGTATGTAGTATGTTCTCTTTGTTTCTCATCATAGTATGTTCTCTTCTATAGTGTATAGTATGTATTGTTTCTCATAATAGTATGTTCTCTTAGTTTCTCATAATAGTATGTTATCTTAGTTTCTCATAATAGTATGTATTGACTCATGTATGAACTGATTCTTTGTATGATTCATTGTACTAGAAGTTATGAGTAGTATCTTCCTAAACTATACCTATTATAGTTTACTAGTAGAGTTGTTTGTATAATTGAGTGTATTGAACTGAGATAAAAGCTTTTATGTCTATACATATATACATAATATATAACTAAGGATCAAACGACACTCGGACAAACAACAGAGTACTCTAAGTCCACAACCAAACAAGGAACAGGAAATAAAGTGTGTTATCAGTCCTAAGTCCTTCCAACCTTACTTATATATTATACATGCATTAGACATGGTTTTGACAATATATTAGTTTAAAAGAGTTAAACGAAAAGGTTTGGCATGTAATGACAAGTTTGATAAAGAGTTTAACATGTAAAAGAGTTTGATAAACATTTTGAAGTAGTTTGTTTGATAAAACAGCTAAAAGTATAGTAAATCCATTGTTTGATACTTATTAATCACATGTGATTGATATAATAACTATAATGTTTCAACTTGTATCCCCCCCCATAAAAGCATTTAAAATCATTTAAAAGGATAGATTAAGGGGTATGAACTCACCTGTAGTGAGTGGTTCGGATGAACGAGTGGTATAGGATGCTAAGTGCCAAGTGAAGACTTGAGCACACACACGGATCCTATTTATCATATAATGATAATATAAGTATATAATTAGTGTCTATACAACTAATCATGAAAGGAAACACCCTAGGGCATAGGATACACTTAGATTTAAGTGCTACAATCACATGTGATTGCATACCAAGGGTGTATGGCCACCCTATAGAGTTTACGGTCCA